CTTCCTAGTAAATCAACCATGCATCCGTAGTGCTCCATCCGGGTTTCAATTCCATGGACTTGAACCATATAGCGGAAGTAATAACGCCCCTCATCAACTAACCCAGAATGAGCACATGCACTGAGCAAATTCACAAAAGTTATGTGATCAGGAGCTACCGTTTCCCTCTCCATCTTCTTAAAAAGCTCTATGGCATCCTTCCCTTTTCCATGAATTGCCAGCCCTCCGATCATGCAATTCCACGCCGAAATCCCTTTATCACCCAATCCATTGAAAACTTGAAAAGCTTTCTCCAGACACCCGCACTTGCAATACATGTCAATAACTGTTGTACCCAGTTTGGCATCCATTTCGATTCCACTCTTTTCAATGTACTCATGTATCCATTTTCCTTGCTCCAGGCTTCCTAACCCTGTACAGGCTGATAACATACTTGCTGCCACAAACTTATCAAGTGCTACCTTTTCTGCTCTCATCCTATCGAACAAACCAGATGCTTCACAAAAACGGTTGCTCTGCGCACAAGCTGCAATCATGGCATTCCAAGAAACAGAGTTCCTCTCAGGCATCACCTCAAAAATTTCAAAAGCCTCATCTATGGATCCCCATTGAGAGTAGCCAGTTATTAAACTTGTCCAAGAGACGACATCCCGTGTGGGCATCTTATCAAAAACTCTCCTTGCTTCCTCCAAAGATTGAAAATTCACATACATATGTATCAAGTTGTTCTGGGAACAGCCATCTACTCCGTGACCAAACTTGAATACATGGGCATGTACTTGCTTCCCTTCTTCAACAGAATTACGAACACTACAAGCCCTTATAAGAGTTGGGAAAGTAAAGCGATTAGGCGTAGTCAATTCTTGCAACATTTGTAAGTAAAGAAGAATGCAGTTTGCGGACAATTGGGCTTGTAGGTGGCCTTTCATTATGGTGTTATAAATGAAAGCGTCTGGGTGGGGGATTGTGGTGAACACCTGAAGTGCATAACCCAGATCGCCATTTTCGGAGATGGCGCAGAACTTGATGACGCGACCAATGGCATCGTTATCAACAGAGAGACCAAGTTTGATGATTTGAGAATGGTGTTGCCTGAGCTCGGCCATTGTGGAGCATGTTTGGAGTCCCTGATATGGCGTATATTGGGTCTTTGGTGGGTTTAACAAGGGTGGATTGGCTTGAAGGTGTAGTGAGGCCATAGTTTGCAGGTAACCAGCCGAATGGATGTCAGTCGTAGGATTCTTTTTTATTTATATGCAGATTTTTTTATGGACCCGCTTAATACCCACAGACAAAAACTTGCTAATTTCTGCTCACTTTCTCCACAAGGTATTAGCCATCAGAATTGCAAGGAGAGCCATCGAGCTCGAGCGCCTCCCACACGGCTTGTCTGCCAAACCTGCTGTCCATAAGTTACACTTGTTTTCTTCTGGTCGAAGTTGCTGCTGTGAAATCGAGCTGGGTTTGTCTTGGCTTTCATTATTATTTTTAAATGATTTTCTTTGACCCATGAGTAAAAAGCAGAACCAGGAAAAGTTCGACCAAAGCCTCTTTTTATAAGAATTTGCGCTGAGTTTTTTGTGAAGTAATCTGCCTTAGTTCAAGCGTACTGATTTTCTTGTATGACAACACAGAAAATCCAACAAACAATAACAGAGAGGAAATCCTAATAGTACTACCTTCAGCTGTAATAACAGAAATTGTTCCATTTCTAAATACCAGTTCTTGGGGGCAGCTCAGCAGAAATTTTTTCTCTCTCTGATAATAAGCCTGGAGCGCCTTGCCATCTTCCTCAGCAGTCTAAATTAAATCTGTGAACTCTCAAGGGCGGGCAGATGGAAAATTTAGGAAACGATGGTAAGAAAATTTAGGAAATGTCTGGTGTTAGGACGAAAGGAAAAAAGAAAACCCTTTTGAAGTTGATGATAGGATAGGACTAACATCACCCTTTTGACTCCATTCGTTGGAGCCTCTGCCTCTCATTCAAAACTCCAGTCTTCAGTTTGGTTCATAGAAAAAGTTTTATAAATTAGTGATCAGTACAACATTATCTACAAAATTCAATAATTTCAGAGATACAGAAACACAAATGTATCATATTTAAATTTTAATTTCCCCCTCGAAAGACAAATCAGGCCTTGGTTTTATGCTTGGAGTCAAATTGAGCTTGTTTTTGTAAGTTTCGATTCTTTGAATATTAAAGCCTAGTTCATAAGCAAATGCAATCTTATCTGCTGATACAACTCGATGTTAATGTGTCATTAATGGCTTTCTGCAACTTCTACAAGATGATTAACTCAGAGAAGAATCATTTCGCTCGTGTTTGGGTTTGCAGCCACCACAACACTTTTTCTGTCTAACACCAACTATTTGGTTTGTGGAATCGGCGCCACAACATCAACAGCTTGCTCCACTGAGAAGGACCTTCTCAGAAACATTATAATCTTCACCAAATATTACATAATGTTCATTAAATACTAACTTATATATACTCTTTTACCAAAGGTCCCACACTACATTAAATTTCATATCAAAACCCTACTTCTCTTCTCCTATCTTCATACAAAAACAAGCATCTATTGCAATTGTGCCAACCTCCGCAGATGCTGAAGGCATCAGTGCCTTCTCTGCTTTGCCCGCTTAAATGACTGTTGACCCCTTATCTTCCATTTTTTATTTCCAGCTGGTCGATTATGCTCTTCAATTTCACGAACCTTGCGTTTCCTGCAAATGTTGACCCAAATAAACAGACATAAATAAGTATCCACTGTTTTTTTTTTCTTTAGAATTCAGATTGGGAGGGTGTGGGCATTCACAGAGATTGATGAACATACTGCAATTCACCCACAATACAAGAAAACAGACATAGAAACTTTTTACAAATAGTGTTTTTCATTAGAACAAATCAAAAGCAAACATCATCTTCCAATACTTCAATTGAAAGCCAGAACAGAACAGATTCTTACAGTAAAAAAATAAAAGGAAAACTTATTGGAAGTGACCTAGACTTAGTGCCAAGGCCTCAGTACTAAGATGTTCATCCACTGTGTCATTAATGTTCAGGGGAAGAGATTAGAGCCCATCCAAAGAACCAGGTCAGGTAAGATTGTACTTGTGTCCTTGCGTTTTAAGGAGATCATGAATGATATTTATAGCAATGACAAGGTCAAAATCTAAAAGTGTATTGTAAATTCACCATAATAATACTAAGATTGTACTCTAGAGCTTCTTCTACTAGATATTTTACATTTTCTGAATTTCTATTAAATTTTTTCAAAACACAGCAGCCAAATCTCTTAATGAGAAAAAAATGAAATCTAAATAAAGCACATGGAGTTATTGTATTCTGTTCATTAACCAAAGCAAGTATAAGCAAAATCTTAAGTTCCAGAATACCATGCCCAACATATTGGGCACTTTGTTTTTTCCTCAATTCAAAAAGGTATGTGAAAGAAGCCAATCTTTCAGGCAAAGATCACATATTTCACAATAAGGCCTAAAACCACTTAATTCCTGTCATTAGCATTCAGTTCTTCATCTCAATCAAAATGATGATATACATTTTGTCATGCTAGAAACAAATAAAATTCCACAAATCAGGAAATAAAAGCATAAACAAACTAAGCTATCAGCCCATCTCACCTGTACCGCCCAAGATTGGGATCAGAAAGCAGTTCATCAGCAAGGGTTGCCTTTCTCTCTTTCTTGGTTAGTCTACCACTGAAGAAATCTGTTGCTGATTCAATAACCGTACCTACCTGCATTGTCAAAAGAAACTAGATATCAGAGCAAGACAAAGATATAAGGGCTTGCGGTTGTATGTTCCAGATCCCATTACTTTACATGACATCATAAACTTGCCTGGAAATACTTGGGCAGAGCTTTTGATTTTGAATCACCCTTCTTGTAATGTCTCTTTGGATCAAGAACACTCCTTAACTGTATGATAGAAAAAGTAAAGAAGAGGATGGTTATGAACGAGCAAATTTCTTATAACACAAGACCATACGCCCATGTCTACCACAGAAGAAGATGGCAACAACTAGCAGGAATACAGAAATGTGATTATCTTGACAAATCCATAAGCCCACTGCATTATGCACATTCAAGTAACTAAATTTGCTTAAACAGCACTCGAGTAACTAAATGCCAGATTTAATCAAGAATTGACAAAACCAGGCCAGTCCCCAATATACATATATATATATATATATTATATTTTAGATAATGCGGGTGGTAGCAGGAGCTTGCCAGGCTGGATTTTGTTCAACTTAGAAAGTTAGAGAGGGGCTTAGGTATACCCCAAGTCCACCAAACAACGCAAGCACATCACTGGCATCTGGGGGAGACGGCAGGGGGACTTTCACCCCTTAGTCCGCTTAGGTGTACATCGTATTGGGTAGGGCCACGTCCCAATACAGGCCAGTTCCCAATATCATAAAGCTAGAACATGCTTAACATAAACAAATAATACGGATGAAAAACAAGGCAAAAAAAAACCTTGAGTAATTGAAGATCCTTTTTCAACTCTGGAGTGATAGTTGGAGCAGGCATCTCAAACCTATTTACAAACAATAACATCAAATAAGTACAACTCGTTGGTTCCTGACAACAACTGGCAGTAAAAAGAAAAGCCTAAAGGTTAACTTGCGTCTAAAATCCACAGCTTACCAGTTGCTGCCAGCAGTGTCTTTGAGTTGCTTTCTAGATAGTTTGTTGAGTTTTCTAGGATCATTCGGGGGAACAAAGAGCCCATCAACGAGCTCTGAATTGGATTTCCAAAGCGCACAGCTTTCGGGTCGATTTTGGAGCTTATTAGCAGACACGGATCCCGTTTTGTTTACGGTTGAGAAATCCGGCACCTTCGGCTGCCATGAAAGACCAATTGATGGTTTGATTTCTGGCATTCTGGGTTCAATTTAAACCTACAATGAAAAAAGAAAACCGTTGCTATGTAAGTGTAGAATAAAATTATGAGTAATGCGTCAACAATTGCATTGGCTTTGGCTCTTACTGGAGATAAAAGATCCTTGATTACTGAAGAATCTTCCTCGAAAAACAAAAAGTAATCACAATCATATCAGAAGTGAATGTACTTATGAATTAAAAATCAGGCAAAACCGAACTCATGACGTACCAAATAAAACAATCACCACCCAACCGCCCCGCACCGGTAGAATTATAGCGAGAAAAAGCTTTAGGCTTGCCTTTGTTGGCGACGGGCGACCCGGGGGTGGGAAAAGGAATTAGGGTTCTGGGAAGTCAGTCTTCAATTCCTGGCGGGAGACAGAAAGAAAGAGTGTCGTAAGATCCGAACTGTTAGGCCTGCTAATAGACCCGGCCCATGTTCACAAAAACACAAAAAAAAAAAAAGACAAAACTGATATAATAAAGAATTAAATTATTATTTGTTTCATGTGATTTTTTTGTCATAATTTAATTCTAAATTTTTATTATAATTTGATTCTCAAATCAAAAGCAGGTTTAGATTTTTTTTAATTTATAAAAAAAAAAATTATTTTTAAAATCATATAAATAACTTAACAGAATTTATAAATAAAGACGAATATAAACACATAAAATTTTCACGTGCTTAATAATTTTTACTACTAAACTAAATTAGATCAGGTGGAGAATTAAGAAACTGCGCGTACAGAAAAATACGCGTTAACAATTAATAAGTTAATGTTAAAGAATCGCTAATAATCGATCGTTCCATTTTAGAACAGTGAAATTGAAGTCTATACCTTACGATTATTTTAGCAATCGTAAACCTAATGGCATTATGAAAATCTTTCCGAGCTCACAAGTTCTTGGAGATGTGAATGACTTCAACAATCCAAAAGCAACAACAGAGTTCTTTTGCAATGATACTGTAAAAGGCTTTGTATCTGTCTTCTTCCTCATCAAGCACACTACTAAAAAACATCTCATCAAGCTTCAGGATGACCTCTTGTTCCTCCTACAAGTTCAGTCGCAACATTTGGTGTTCTGAAGTTGGCAACATCTTCCCATCTAGCTGGTAACAAATATGACCTGCCGGCTTCCAGTGTTCCCATGGGTTTTACAGGCTTCCAAGAAGAGCACCCAGAACAGCCACATCAACACTCATGGGCATCTGAGTTTCAACAAGGTGTCGTGAGGCCACAGTTTGTAGTAACCAGGCAAATGGTAGAAAAAATATGATTAATGTTTATCACAAGATATGAAATAATTTTAGTTTGAGTGTAGAAAAAAATTAGAACTTCAATGAAAATTAAAAAAAAAAAAAAAAAAGAAAAGTAAGAAAATTGAAAGTCCAAAAGTAGGGAAAGCATTGTAGAGAGGGAAGTCAATTTCGGAGAACTGATGCTGGAGAGGTTTATCTTTATCTATGGCTGACTATTAATAACTCCGTCTTTCCCTGACCTTAACCTCTGAATAAAACTATCGCTTATTTTTAGACCAGTCCCATCTCCTATAAAACATACCCTCTTCCTCCTTACCTCCTTCATAATTAAATCTCTTTCTTTGTAAAACATTTCTTCTTGGTCCTCATGGGTGCAGGAGGCAGAGTTATTGGAGCAGGAGTCTCCGTCATTCTTGTTATTGGCGTCTGTATTGCAGTTATAGGTGGTCTCAAAGGCAGAAACATGGCCGACGAAGGCGATGTTTTATCCACCACTTCAAAGTCTGTGGCTGCCATTTGTAATCCCACAGATTACAAGCAAGCATGTGTGGAGAGCCTCGACACCCTTGTCAGCAATCATACTGCTACTCCCACAGACTTCATCCAAGCGGCCATCAATGCCACCATCAAGGCTGTGCAACAAACCTTGGACCACGTCGGCATCATCTTCGACAAGCCCGAAGAAATGAATCCTTACCAGAAGATGGCCAAGGAAGATTGTGAGGACTTGTTGAATTTCGCGGTTCAGGAGTTGCAAGCGACGTTTTCCATGGTAGGAGATAACGACATGCACAGTTTGAAAGATAGAGAGGGGGAGATTAGTAGTTGGTTGAGCTCTGTTATTTCGTACCAGGAGACGTGCCTTGATGGGGTGGAGGAGTCGGATATGAAGATTCAATTGTCAAATGGGCTTCTGAATGCAACTCAGCTTACAAGCAATGCGATTGCAATTGTGTCAGCCATTTCTGGGATCCTGAGTAACTTCAATATCACACTCACGACCAACCCAGAGTCTCGAAGACTTGCAGAAAGGGAGGATGTTAAAGGAGGTGAGTACCCGGGGTGGATGAGGGCTCAGGACAGGAAGTTGTTGGGCAGCAATCACAAAGGGCGGGTGACCCCAAATGCCGTAGTAGCCAAAGATGGGAGTGGAAATTTCAAGACCATCGGGGAAGCCCTCGCTGCATATCCTAAGAACCACGTAGGAAGATATGTGATATACGTGAAGGCTGGGATTTACAATGAATACGTGACTGTGGAGAGGACACAGACCAATATTTTCATGTATGGAGATGGGCCGCGACAGACCATCATCACCGGAAAGAAAAGCTTCCATTTCGATAAGATAACCACTTTTAGGACTGCCACATTCTGTAAGTAAATTAATTATTTTTTAAAGTAAATTAAGTTAGTTTTTTAAAGAAGAAAATTCTGACGATTGGTGCGTGCATATATGAGCAGCGGTGATGGGAAATGGGTTTGTAGGGAAGTCAATGGGATTTCAGAACACGGCGGGGCCCGAAGGACATCAGGCAGTGGCACTAAGAGTCCAAGCAGACGCATCGGCATTTTATAACTGCAGAATAGACGGGTATCAAGACTCGCTTTATGTGCAAGCTCATAGGCAATTCTACCGCAACTGCGTCATCTCTGGTACAATCGACTTCATATTTGGTGACTCCAGCACACTTATCCAGAACTCGTTGATCATCGTGAGGATGCCGATGAAAGGGCAAAAGAATTCAGTGACCGCACATGGACGAAAAGACAGGCGGCAGACGACAGGGTTGGTAATCCAAAACTGTCGAATTGTTCCGGAACAAAAGCTGGCTCCTATGAAGAACGTGTATCCCTCCTACTTGGGGAGGCCATGGAAGGAGTATTCAAGGACAGTTATAATGGAATCCATAATCGGAGATGTGATTCAACCGGCAGGATGGATGGAATGGCAAGGGAACTTCGCGTTGGACACACTCGATTACGCGGAATATGGAAACCAAGGACCTGGTTCAGCAACAAACCAGAGGGTGAGGTGGAGGGGATTCCATGTCATTACCAACAGAAACGAGGCTCTTCAATACACGGCCGGTCAGTTTCTCCAAGGCAACACCTGGCTTCCGCTTACTGGTGCACCCCACATTCTCGGCCTAAAGAATTGATTTACTTACTGCCACTTCGCTTTTCACTTTCCATTTTCCACTTTCCACTTGATATGTACATATACATACATGTAAGTGGGATCAGAGGAGAGGTTTGGTCGCCATTTGCCACCCCCCAAACTAGCCACCTGTTTCTTTCTTATCTATCTTCTTCTACATGAATAATATCATTTTATTTTCATTTCCCAAACTAACTATTCAGTCCATCATAATAACAGCTTATGCTTATTTTCTTGACATTTACTTATCCACCACCAAGCATTCATCGACTACTTTGAAATTAATTCAGAAGACACGCCAATAAACAACTAATGCTACCTCCAGACTAATGTTTTATTTCCCCAACTCGTTACCTACACATTAAAATTCCAAGGCCAAGTTTAGTCCCAGAGGGGTTGTTTCCAGACCTTCCTTGGCGCCATAAACGCGCAGGTTATGTCCTTCCTAATTATGTTTACCAGGAAAAAAGAAGATCAGAGGCCAATTTAATTGAAAAAAAATGTAAAAATTACATGCCTCCCATCTTCATTCAGTCCTGTAACATTATGATTTAAAATCTCCATCTAAGAGCCTCCCCAGGTCCCATCCCCTCAACTCTGGTGAAAGAACAACCCAATACCATACCAAATAAAAAGAAACGAGTTTCTCTATAACAATTATCACCATAAGCCCCCATCAATCTGCCAACATGAATGGATCTACATCGCCAAGATCAGCAGTAAGAGGTCCCAATTCCGTTGCATCCTCATCTTCTGCCGCAAAGTAAGTCGGGAATGGAAGTGATGAAACATCAGGTTTGTTATAGAAAGCATCTTTTACAAACACAAAGTTCCCTGTGGCACCTGGAACCTATTTAACCCAAAAAAAGAAAAATAAAAAACATTTCTGTGAAGATATTTAATAGGACAATGACTTTATGAAAATATATATGTACACACACATCCATATGAAAGCCTCTTCTTCCGATTCCCCTTTCTATTTCTTTTCTGCAATTCTCGTTTCAATTTCTTTTGACATATGAAAATGTGCAATCTGTGATAATAAGAGTCCAGTAGGAACAGCAATCTCCTATTATTCATGTGTAAAATGCAATGACAAAGCTCATCCTACCAACTACGTGTTTTTCACCACAACCACCCAGTCCCTTGAAGGATCAAATGATAAAAAATGCATACAGATATTATACCATATGCACAAAACATTTTGCCAAAACCCGATCATTGGTAAACCCTTAAAATAGTTCCACACTTCAGTAAATTGTAACACCATTTTGCAGGAACTCCACATAATCAAGGCACCTTTATCCGCATATTTTTTAGATTTATATCAGAAAGCATAGTTGAAAAAGAATCATACCTGTCCTCTAACCCACATCAAATTCCTTGCTGGATCTATTCTGTAGACCCATACATTTTTTACTGTTCTCTGCTTCCCACCCATACGCCCAGGCATCTTCTTGCCTTTGAAAACCTGTCATAGAACAGTGTAATTAACAATATTACACCCCAAAAACACTCACAATACTGCAAAAATCGTTAGCAGTTTACAAAGAAAATCATAATCATGAAACATCATTTTATACAGTAATGCAAAAAAAGAGGTCAACAATGGGTTTAAATAAATGGCGTCCTCCGTCTTCTATATAATTACCACTTGCTCTAGAAAGAAAAGCAAAGTATAAATAATCCAAACCCAGCATACAACAGGAAGACAGTCCAAGGGAGGACAAAAGGAAAAAGCTCGCCCCACCTGAACCGAGCTCTAGGAGAGAAGAGGAAAATATAAACCTAAATTTCTGGGGAAAGTTTTAGACCTGCCCTATCATAAACATTAGAGTAATGATTGTTCTGTTCTCCCTGATATTAATCTATCAGTTTAGTCATAAAACACCATCAGAATCAGACAGTATATTAGACGATACGAACATTTCAGAGATATGGCACATGAAACAAAACAAAGATGCAGAATCATTGAATTTTTCTTGTCACATAAGATTCTGCTGTATGCATCTCTTGTAACAATTTTGGATTTTAAGTGTTTTAATATTCTCGTGCAATAAAATCTCATATAGTGGCTATCAAGATTAAAACACATTAAATAACCTTAATAAATCATACAAACCTTTCCAGGGGCATCCCTCTGACCCGTGGAACCAATACTTCGATGTGATAGTGATGCACCATGAGATGCTGGCATTCCTTTAAATCCCCATCTCTTCATTCCACCCTGGATTCCACATGGAATAAAAGAAAAGCAATGATAATGTTAATCTATCACAACCAACAGGATTTTACACAACTACCCCAAACTTCATTGATTTAGCCTCTTACCAGAAAACCAAGCACCTATAGCATGTAAAAATATATGAAACACCTCTACACACTCTTACAAATTAAATCTTAGCTATTATGAAGAATCTAAAACAATAAATCCTAATTTCATTATTCCCTTTAAGTGCAACAATTCTCATCTCCATAAATTCATATACATGACATGCTGAAGCAGAAAAATTGCACACCTTCCTAGCCCCAACCACGAAAACTCATACACAATAATATATCTACGGAGATTTCTGGCATTTAGATATTGGGAAACCAAACAAGATAATATGATTTACCAATTGGAGAGTAGCAATCGTTAGCCAATATCCATGTTTGTAAGGAATGCATAAAATATTAGTATATACTTGTAGGGTATTAATTTAAGATCTAATGAACTAAAACATTTGAAACTATATGCACTATTTGTGATTCTCGCTCGCAAGAATGTGAGGGTTTCAACACCATCACTTACTCAATAAGTGTTTTTAAAGTATCAATTAGTCACGTCCATCATTACTAAAACTCCTAAAAAGTATCTTGTTTACAAAAAATGGTCTTTTTATTTGAGAGATGAAAATATTAGCATTGAAGTACAATAAATTGATCTTATTAGGAAGCACATTGCAAATATGAAAGAAACTAAACAAAAAGGCAATAGGAAGAAAGCCAATAGAAAATAAAGGCAAGAAATAGTTCACCTGAAAACCTTTCCCTTTCGTTATTCCTGTGACATCAAGGTACTGCCCTGGAACAAAATGGCGAACACCGATCGAGGTACCAACAGGAAGAAGTGCATCTTCTGTCACAGGAAACTCCCTCAACTTCCTCTTCAATGGTACACCTTGAGCTCTAAAATGGCCTACTTCTGGCTTCGTCAAATGCTTTTCCTTCTTCTGCCCGCAACCAATCTAACTAACAGCACAATAGAAAACCAGAAAAGAATTTTAAACACAAACCATGGTAACCTCTCCAAATCCGATGCTGAATACGTTCTTTTTACGCTAGCCATTACCTAAGGCCGAATTAAAAAGTGGAACTTTATGCAAATGCCCTTTCCTATTCATAGAAGTGAAGGAAATAGCTTTTCAGCGGTTTAGGGTTAACAAGATCTAGGAGATCATCTCACCATGTTAAGTAAAATAGCAGAAAAAATAATTAACTTTCAAATTCTGGTCTTCCAATGAGTGATCTCGGCACTCAAATTTTTTTTTTGTTTAAAAAAGCGCTCGTCAGTAAATTCTCATTCGGTAGGAAGTCACTATTACCTGTAGGGCAAAAATGCCTTCTTTCTCGACAGTCTTGACCTGAGAAACAATATTATCGTCGACCCATAAAATAGTGATAGGAATCTTAGCACCCCATTTATCCCAAAGAGCGGTCATTCCACATTTGATGGCAATAACACCAGTGCGCTTGGAGATGGGGGTCATGATTCCGGATTTGGCTTCGATGATCCGGGTGGGTGGGAGGACGACCTCCGACTCATGGGTGCTGAATCTCCGGAGGCAGATGAAGGTGTGAGGAACTCCTGATGCAGTTGCCGAAGTTGATGTGAGCTTAGGGTTGGAAGTGAGGAGCTGGTAGAGACGAGGGACGAGGCCTCTAGATAAGGCCGACATGGCAATAAGTGAAAGGGGAAGTTGGAATTGCGCTTGTTAAGGTTAAGGGGAGGTTGAAGTTGCAGGGTACATGGCTTGAACTAAGGTGGAAGAGATGAGAAGACGAGAAAACGGGGAAAAGCCCGGAAAGGGATTTAGAGTAGGGTTTTAGGGTGGGGAATGTATCTATGGTGGAGAGTGTTTTATGTTCTCTACATGACTGCCATTTATATGAGGACACGTGTCAAGAAGATGTGATCTCTGATCATCCAGTAAAAACTGGTAAAAGGTCTGAAAGTAGAAAATAATTTGGGTTTCAAGTAAAAAACAGAAATCGATTCCTACTTGGCACGAAAACAGCCATGGAATATAGAAATGAAGGAATAACCCAAATCAAACTCAGCTGAGTGAGTGAAAGTTGCTGCAAAAAATTTTCTAAATTCTTCAAAATTTCTAAAATCTTCTCTTTCGTAACTTCTGAATGTTTATATGTATGTAAATATATGTATAGACAATGACGGAGCTGTGGCATCCTCTTCAATTCTCCAGCCCCAAATTTGGAGTCCCCAGTCGCAGGCCACATGTGGCGCCGCTTCTCCAAGGACACGGTCAAATTCACCTCCTCCGGAACACTCCCGCCGTGAAAACTTCGGCGACGGCCAGAGCACCCGAGGCGGCCGGCGGCAAGATGGTTGTGGAACTGGTAGGAGCCTTCAACGAGCTAACGGAGAGGATGAACGTGTTGTCTACGTGCTCATCTCGTATCCTCTTCAAGGCTCTCAAGATCTCCATCCCTATCCTCCAGCAACTTCCTCTTTCTCCCGATGGCCGCTCGCCCCTTTCCAGGGCCTTATCCCTCGCTCTCCTTCTCGCCAATCTCCAGGTCTCTCTCTCCATTTCTTCTACTTCACTTCAGTCTTGCTTTTCCTTCACATTTGTTTCGCTCCTCTTTTCGGTAACATCAGTTTGACCTTTTGACTATTACAATATTTGGCTTAAGAATTCTTTATTATAGGTTACAGTGCACTTACCAATCAATCCTTTTGAATCTGCTTAAAAACTAGAACCAGTCTTGTATTTAGTTGATCGTTTCCAGGTCTCAATCAAAAAGGTTATTTTAGAGTCGTATAAACTTGCAGGCAAACTGTCAAAATAATACCAACTCTGTTACAAATTTAGGCCTTGACAACATTAAAACAGAGGTGTATATCCTATAGTTATTAAGAATTATCTGTCCCTGTATTTGCTTGGCATTTCTCGTTGCATTTCATTCATACAAGCCAGGGGAGCCTGCCTCCCCGTAATCTTGCTGGTACCAAAGTAAGAAACCATTTTAACCTTATGCCTTCAGGGCTACATTTTTTTAGTAATGTTGATGGATTTCCACTCAAAATCTAGAAATATTTTAAACTGGACTAGACAAGTCATGGTTTTATGAGTTCCCCAATTACTTAAGTTCACTCCCTTGCTTGATTAGTTGCAATGCAATGCATTTCTCCACAGCTTTTGGCGAATTTTTATTGATTGATCACATTTTCCACTGCTTTTCTCTGATTGTTTATTGATTGAATTGATCTCAGATGGATGCGGAAGTTATTTCAGCCAGCATTTTGAGAGAGGTTCTTGAGGCAGGCTTAATATCCATACATGAAGTAAGAGATCAGATAGGTATTGGTACTGCTCATCTATTGCATGAAAGTCTACGAATGAAAAATATGCCTTCAAGAATTGATGTTTTGGATGATGAAAGTGCCACTGCGTTAAGGAAGTTCTGTCTCACCTATTATGACATCAGGGCCATTATTCTAGAGTTGGCTCTTAAACTTGATATGATGAGACATCTTGATTACCTGCCAAGATTTCGTCAGCAAAAACTTTCCTTAGAGGTCATGAGAATACATGCGCCCTTAGCTCATGCTGTTGGAACCAACTATTTGTCACTGGAGCTGCAGGACCTTTCATTTCGCTACCTGTTCCCATATTCCTACCTTTATGTGGATGCCTGGTTAAGAAGCCATGAGGCCGGGAGTAAACCTCTGATAGATATTTACAAGGAACAGCTGCTTCAATCCTTAAAAGCTGATTCCACTTTGGTGGATTTGGTAAATGATGTCTCAGTCAAAGGCCGTTATAAAAGTCGTTATAGCACAATGAAGAAGCTGGTGAAAGATGGACGGGAGCTAGAAGAAGTAAATGATATTCTTGGGCTGCGGGTCATAGTGAAGCCTAAATCTGGAGTAGATATGTCAGAATTAGGTGAGAAAGCATGCTACAGGGCACGTGAAATTATCCAGTCTATGTGGAAAGAAATGCCACACAGAACCAAAGATTACATTGCCAAGCCCAAGGCAAATGGGTACAGGAGTCTACATATGGCAGTGAATGTGAGTGAGGATGGCAGGACCAGACCTCTAATGGAGATACAAATACGAACTACTGAAATGGATTTGTTGGCTGCTGGTGGGACTGCATCCCATTCCCTGTACAAAGGTGGTGTTACTGATTTAGAAGAGGTCAGCACTCTGCTCTTCTTTTGAGAAGTAGTC